AGATTAGACAGGTCCATAAAACAAAACAAGACTAAATGGTCACACCAGCCCAGGGGCAAGGACAAGAAGGCAGGAGGGGACAAGAAAGCTGGTAATGGGGAACTCAAGATCGAGAAGGGGAGACATGTTGTGAGGTTGGCAACCAATGTCACAAAACAGTATGTGTATTAATTGTTTAATGAGAAACTAGTTTGCTCTGTAAACCATCTAAAGTACAATAAAAAAAAATGCTCTAGTTCAACAGAGATCAAAAAAAAAAAAAAAAGAAAAAACCCATTGCCGTCAAGTCTTTTTCGACTCATAGTGACCCTATAGGACAGAGTAGAACTGCCCCATAGAGTTTCCAAGGAGTGCCTGGTGGGTTCAAACTTCTGAACTTTTGTTTAGCAGCCATAGCTCTTTAACCACTGCGCCACCAGGGTTTCCCAGTAGGTATCAGGGAAATGTAAATCAACATTACAATGATGTATTTTATTTCATGAGACTGGCAGAAATTATGAAATCTGACAATGTCAAGTGTTAAGAAATCTGACAGTATCAAGTGTAGACAAGGATATAGGTCAATGAGAATGCTTATACACTGTTGGTAGGAGTATAAATTAGTACATTCTCTTTGGAAAACAGTTTGACATTAGCTAATGAATTTCTACCTGCTCATGTACTATGACTCAGAAATTCCATTACCAGGTATATTCCCAAAAGAATTCTGACATGCGTGCTCCAACAGGCCTGGGAACACTGTGTTAAGAGAAAAAATAAATAAGTAAACCAAAAGTCCATCAACAGAAAAACAGATAAATTGTGGAACAGACATGCAAAGAAATACTATACAGCAGTGAAAATTAACGAATGACAGCTACAATATAGATGTATCACACAGACATAATGTTAAGCAAAAATACAAGCCGTCAAAGATGCATACAGATTGATTCTGTTTATATCAACTAACAACAAGCAAAGCACATAATATATTATTTACAGGATTATACATATACGGTAAAAATATAAAGAGAAACAAAAGAATGGTAAACACAAAATTCAAAATAGTGATCACCTCTGGAGGACAGGTGGGAGGGAGCCTAAAGGTACTGGATGGTGGGTATGTGGGTGGTCATTAATACTGCATATATTTTAAACTCCTTAAGACATTACTATCTTATATAAACAAACAAACAAAACCCAAACCTGTTGCCATTGAGTCGATTTCAACTTACAGCGACCCTATAGGACAGAGTAGAACTGCACCGTAGGATTTCCAAGGAGCAGCTAGTAGATTTGAACTGCCAACCTTGTTGTTAGCAGCCGTAGCATTTAACCACTGCACCACCAGGGATTATTTTATGTAGTTGATACTAATTTAGATTTAGCCATATATTTTAACTCTTTGTGTTGCTTCTCTTTCTTTCCTGCATTTCCTTGCTTTTTTCTGGGAGCATTTTTCTTATTCTTGAAAAACTCATTCTTAGTTTTTAAATTAGGTCTGATGGTGATAAATTCTCTCAGTTTTTGTTTGTCTGATAATGCATTTGTCTTCATTTTTTAAGGATATTTGTTCTGGAGCTAGATTTCTAAATCAGCATTTAATTTTTACTGCTTTGAAGGTAGGACATGTCATGGTCTGCTGTCTTCCGACTTTCTTTTGAAAATTCAGCTGAAATCTTAGTATTGCTCTTTAGTATATCTTTTCTGTTTTTAATATTCCTTTTAGTTGATTTTTATAAATTTTACCATGAAATGTGTGTAGTTTTCTTGGTATTCATTCTGTATAGGGTTTATGAGGCTTCTTGAATCTATGGCTTAATATTTTTAATCAGTTTTGGAATATTCATGGCCATTATCTTTTCAAATATAGTTTTTGTCCCATTGTTCTCTCCTTCTGGGTCTCTGATTACATGGATGTTAAATCATTTTGAGGGTCTCACATTTCTCGTATGATTTTTGTGTGTCTTTTAACTCATTCTTTTCTTCTGACCTGTCTTTCTGTTTGCTAATCCTTTCTTCAGCTGTTAAAACCTTTTGAAAAGTTTTAAAAAGTTAAAAGCTGTTAAAATCTGCTCTTAAACGTATGTATTGGGTTTTAACTTTCAGTTATTGTACTTTTCAGTTCTGGAATTTCCATTTGACTCTTTTCTTAGATTATACTTCCCATTTGTTTCATATTTTCTTGAACATATTTATGACAGGTCTTTAATGTCCTTGTCTGATAATTCCAAAATCTATATTACCTAGAGCAGGGGTCAGCAAACTACATCCAGCCTGCTGCCTGTTTTCATATGGCCTATGAGCTAAGAATGGTTTTTACGTTTTTAAAGGGTTTTAAAAAAAAAAAAAAAAAAAAAAACCTACGTAACAGAAACTGCTTGTAACCTACAAAACCTAAACTATTTACTGTCTGACCTTTTCTGGAAAAGTTTGCCAATCTTTGGCCTATAGGTCTGTTTCTACTGTCTGTCTTTTTGTCTTGGTCCTATTTCTTAATATGCCTAGAAATAGTTGTACAGTATTGGTACTCATTTACTATAGTTTATTAAATAATGGAGATATTTTTAAAAATTGAGATATAATGCATACAGTATAGTGCACAAATCATAAGTGTATATCTTAGTGAATTTTTAATTAGCCATGACACAAATCAAGGTATTAAACATTCACAGCACCCCAGAGGCCCCCTTGAACTCCGAGTGTGTAACCACTAGCCAGTAGCTGTCTTGCCGATTCGTTTCCGACACACGCACGCAGAGTAGAATTGCACTCCCGAGGGTTTTCAAGGCTGTGGCCTTTCAGAAGCAGATTGCCAGGCTTTTCTTCCAGTGCACCTCTGGGTGGGTTCAAACTGCCAACCTTTCAGTTAGTAGTCAAGCACCTAACCGTTTGTACCACCCAGGGACTCACTCCTTCAAAGCATATACTCCCTGCCAAAAATAGCCACTCTTCTGACTTTTATCACTATAGATTACTTTTGCTTGTTCTTGAACTTTATGTAGATGAATTATATTGTGTCTACTGTTCCGTGTCCCATTTTTTCTACTCAATATTCTGTCTATAGAATTCATCCACATTGTTGCACACAGCAGTGGTTTATCTTTTTCATTACTACGTGATATTCCATTGTGTGAACAGGCCACAGTTTATCCATTCTATAGTTCATAGCCATCTGTGTTTTCTCTCTTATGTTTTAGATTTAATCTATCTGGAATTGTTATGTATTCTGTTTTATGTTTCTCCACAAGGATATCCAGTTGGCCCTGGGCTGTTTATGCGTAAGACTGGCCTTTCCCCACTGCGTTGTGGTGTGCTTTGTCATAAAGCAAGGGACTGTTCATGAGAGGGCCTGTTGCTGAGATCTCTGTTCTTTTCTGTGGTCTGTTTATTTGCTGTGTCATTGTCACTTTGTCTTGATGACTGGGCTTTGTCCTTCGTGTATTCTTACCTAGAGTCCAGCAGAATAATTTTAGGGCTTGGAGTTTCATTTCATCAGGGGTTATAGGTAGTCAGATTCTGACACCAGGTAAATCAAGTATGCTGGAGAAGGGATTCCTGTTTTAGGCAAAAGGTTTATTAGAAATTTACCAAGCCCCCTTGTCATTGTCTGTACAGTTCAGTGTTGCTACTTTGGTGCTGTAAATGCTCCTCCTACTTGTTTTTGTTTTTTTGTTCAGCTATCCTCCTCCTAGCCTTCCACTCCAGCTAAAAAAAAGAGGTACTGTATAAAGTCTCTTATGATACAGAAAAAGTCCTGATAAGTGAATTATGCTAATCTTGAACTTTCAATCAATAAACAAATAATAGTAATTTTGATTTCGTTCTGGCTCTTGGCTCTTTATGTGTTGAAGTATACTGCTTCTTTCACCTTTTATTCTTTAGAACTGTTACGTCTTTTTTTCTTTCCTACCATGAGCATTTATTACATTTTTAAACTTTTCTTAATTATAATATTTTAAAGGATATTTTAAATTTTTTTAAAAGTTAAGAGTATTTGCCCATGGAATAGAGATAAGATGTAGAAAAAAATGTAATATGTGGCTTGAAAGGGCAAATTAAAGATGAATAGGACAAGAAATTTTTATCCAAACTGGTTCTTAAGTGGCTAATCTGTCCAAAATTATTTGTAAAGGTTTAAACATGTCTGTAGAAATAGACCGAAGCATGGATGTGGAGGGAAGCAAAGCCCTGGTTCCAGGTTCACCAGGGTTTTAGTTCTTCTCTTTTAAAGTCATGAGTCAAAACCTGACTATAAGGATACACCTTAGAGTTAGGCACGTGGAAACCAGTTCCCTGTGCCTTTTCCTTCCTAAACATACAGCTGTGTAGAAGGGCAGTTATCTCTGGTAATCCTAGAGTCATCATAACATTTTATTTACTAAGATGGATTAATATTTTGCCCAACATTCAGTTGAGGGAAAAGCCAGAGAAGATCTTCATAAAGCAGAAATGGCATAGGTTTTCTGGGATGTTTGTACTAGATGATAGTTACTTACTATTCCTAAATAAAAGATTTGTGATTATTATAATTATTGATTAGTAGAATATACTTGTTTATAGTGGTTACATTTATTAAATTCTTCCTAGGTGCTAGGAGTTAAGCCAAGATCCTTATATAATTACCTCATTAAACTGTCAGCAATCCTAATAGTAGATACTGTTTTTACCCCCATTTTATAGATAAGGAAATCAAAGCTTGGCTTAGAGAGATTTAAAAAATGTGTCTGATATTCCAGCCTTAGCAGCCACCTCATGTACTTATTATGTCTCTGAGATTTGCTTTGAATTTTTATGTATCTCTAAAGATTTCTCAGTTTTTTCAAACAGTAGTTTATGCTAATAACTATTCTATTCTAAATTTCAACATTTAGTTTCACTATTTATAGCATGTAATTTTTAATTAGCAACAATTTGGCATTAGAACTCGAGGAAGTAAAAGAAATGAATGAGACCAACATACTTTTTGCAAATTCTGCCCTTCACTGAGTGACAGTCCATTTTTTACATGGCACAAATACCTGGAAACAAGTGTGGCAGCAGCACACCTGCTGAAGGAATCCACATCCACAGAGGCCTTCCCTGCGAGGCCTGGGAATACAGCTTTTACCTGGAAGAACATGAATGCAGGGTTTTTAACAAATTGCTTGATAAGTAGCATTCTCTTTAATAATCTCTTGGTAATAAGTTTAAAAGAAGGAATTAAGCCAAAGGCAGTTTGCATGCACATTCGATACAAAATTATCCAGGAACATTTTGTGCGTTCCTTCTCCCTTGATCACCCCATTCTCAGCGAGCTCTCCCTTGACCCACAGGAGCTGCCTTATGAGTGTGGAGCCGGCCATCAGCACCAAGCACCTCCCTTACCAGAGCTTCCAGCTCTTTGGCTTCGACTTCATGGTGGATGAGGAGCTGAAGGTGTGGCTCATTGAGGTCAACGGCGCCCCTGCTTGTGCTCAGTAAGCCTGAACACTGCTGCATTTTAACAAGTGGCAAGTCAGTTTAGCAGTTGGAATAGCCAGTCTTGGTAAGGTGGTGAGCTCCCGTTACTAAAAGTGTTCAAGGGTAGACCCTGTAACTGCTGTCAGGAAGGATGTCACAGTACTAGGAGTCCTCTGGGAGGAATCTGGCTGGCACAGGGCTTTGCTGGGCCATTGCCCCATTGTGTGTTGAGCAGTTAGTCTGTGCTCAGGTGGGTGGTAGCTGCACTGAGAACTTCAAGCAAAGCTAATCATTGCTAGAGGAGACCCTGCCGTGTGACAAGCTGAGTGAGCAGGGTCCTGTGACTGGGGGAGGCGGTAACGACCAAGAAGTTCTCCAGGCAGGAAGTGGTCTGTGGAGGGATCGTAGAGACTGTGGAGCTAGAGCTGGGATGCAAGAGAAGAGTGTGTTCAGATACGCTGAGGGGAGGTGGGGAGAGCCTTTCAGAAAGGGGACACAGCATCCAGTGGGACCTGGCCCTGTGCTGGGCTCAAGCCTGGTCTAGGAGATGCACAGATGAACAGGAGCTGCCCTCAGGGAGCTTCTTTTCCTCCTGGGGAGACAGCCTGCCTACAGCGCAGTGTTAGTGTCGTGGAGTGACGAAAGATGAAGGTGAAAAGGGAAGTAGGGCCGCACCGTGGGAGGCCTTACTGTCACAGGAAGTCATTTGGACTTAATCCTCTTATCCTGTTGGTTCTTCTGAGGATCTGCTTTCATCATGTCATTTCCCTGTGCAAGACCCTTTCATGGTTCCCCATATTCACACCTTGGAGAAATTGAGGTGATTTTTCTAAAGATTTATGAGAAAGTCCTGAAGCTACAAAGCAGCTGCTTTAAAACTCAAGTTCTTTCATTAGGAGTTGGACCTTTGCCACTTGTTTGATAGCTGTTACATGGCAGGTGTAATTTTCTCTCATTTTTCATTCCCTACCATTAACAAGTACTCACTAGATACCATCTAGCCTGCCAGGCCTCGTACTCGGCCCTAGGTTCACAATGGTGAAGAAGAGAGACACAGGCCCTGCCTTTAGCAAAGAGAGGCTGTGGGCATGACAGAGGATCAGACAGATGTAGACCACAGACTGAGACAAGTGTTATAATAGAGTATGCGATGTTAAAAGATCATATAATTGAGCAAAAGGTAGCCATGAGGAAGTGATGTTTGGAACTGAAATCTGAAGGAGCAATGGGGAGTTAAGTAGGCAGTATAAATCGTATTGTGTTACAAGTGCTGGAACACTCGTACCTGATTTGGGTATGTGATTTTTGACTGGGGAGGGCTCCTGAGGTGAGCCTGGACAGCCACAGGGACCCATGCCACACTGAGGGGTAAGAGGCAGAAGGGGTCATGTGCTCTTACTCATATGCTGAAGGAGGTAAACTTTTAACTTTCTTTCTCTCATAAAGGAGAAGGGGCGAAAAGAGTTGATACAGATGATGAGGTGATGGGGTAGTCGAAGAAAAAATATTCACAAACCTCAGTTTCCATGTTTTTGTACATGTTAAAATATTATTTACTCATTTTGTTATATGAAAATGAGGGGAGTGTGTCAAAAGGCATACCATTGCCTGCATATGTTGTACCTCTCACATCAGAAATACTCCCAAGATATGAGTTGGCTTGACCATGTTGAAGTTATTTTGCATTCTCTCCTCTTACCCAGCATTCCCTTTGAAAAATGCCTCCAGAGGTGGTTAATGTGACAAGCAGCATGAGACACTGAGCATGACAATTGTGAAAGCTTGTGGCTCTTGGTGACTTACTGAGGCTCCAGTCTTTTGGGGTTGTGTGGTTGCAGTGTTCAGTAACCATCATCACTCCCTCCTTGTTGCTGTCCCTTCAGAAATGGGAAGTTGAGTAGTTTGGCCACAAGGGATTGTTGAAAATAGGATTTGATTTGTGTAGACAGACTAGCTTGGGCTTCTGCCCTTGGCTCAAGCAACCTAGATTCCAGTGTCCTGAGCAAGTTGAGTAGGTGGGCACGTCTGACCTGGAGCACCATCTCAGATGTGGATTTCTTCTTCGACCACATGTCTTTTTTCCAGTGTTGGTATGAGTCCTCAGAGAGCTGACCCTGGGCCCTCATGCACCGCCACATGAAATAGCAGAAATCCTACAGGGGGTATATAGTCTTAGGAAGGCCATTTAGCTACTCTGAAGAGACTGGATTGTAGGATTTCCTCCTTAGCTTTGCCACTTTGGTTGGTTCCGTTGCCCTGTGGGTGAAATCTAGACTCCTGAACATGGTATCAAGGACCCTGCATGGTCTGGCCTGTCTTTGCCTCCAACCTCATCTAACCACTTCATGCTCCATTCACACTGATCCACTTGCAATTATCCAGATACCCTGTGCTCTCTCTTTTGTGCATGCTACCCCTCTGCTTGTGCTTCTCTCCCTCTCTCTTTCACACAGACACACACAGGCACCCTCTCTCACTCATTGTCTTTCTGTGTTTGTCTCTCTCCCTTCTCCTTCCTTCTCTCTTCTCTGTCTGACCCTTCCTCTTTCTAACTTCTATTCAGTCTCCAGGCCTCAGCTTAGTTGTCACTCCTGGGGAGTCTTCCCTAATGTCCAGTCAACCATACTGAGTTGGTTTTCTTCCTGGACATGCCCACCGCTTCATGTACACCCGTTACAGACAGGCAAAATGGCTCTTTATTTACACTGTATTGAAATTGCCTATCTTCCCCACCAGTCAGAGCAGGGGTTGTCTGTCTTGTTCACCTCTTGAGGGAAAGCTGTACAGTCGTGCAGTGGCTCCTGCAGTATCTGTATGTACAGTGGAGACGTTTTGTAAACGTGGTCATTCTAGGGAAGCTCTTGATGGAAAAACTATGTTTGCACTTTGATGAGCATCCTTAATGATACTTGTTCAACACATTTCAGGAAACTGTATGCAGAGCTTTGCCAGGGCATTGTGGACCTCGCTGTCTCCAGTGTCTTCCCGCCCCCAGACGTGGCGCAGCAGACCCAGCAGGCTGCGTTCATCAAGCTCTGACGGAAGGAGGTGCCTCGAGCGGCCTCGGAAGAAGCACGGGGTCTGGCTTCAGGGGAAGGTGAAACGACCAATTCCTCACTATCAAGCCAAAACAAGTGGAAGAGAGGCAACTCCAGGGTGGAGGGAGAGCATAGAAGAAAGACACCTTCCCCAAAGAGCCGTGACCTGAGGGTGTGTCCCAGATTGAGCTCTCCACACTGCTAGGGAAGACTTGAAAACTGAAGGAGATTTCTCTGAGGGAGAGCAAAATGTCCTTCCAAGGGGAAAACACAGGGACTTGATTATTTTAGGTTCTCATCCTTCTGAAAGTCTTGTTTTTCTCCTAAGGCAGCATTGTGAGCAGCACCTATCCTCCCTGGGGGTCGCAGACCGTTTGGCCCTTTGGTTGGTGTCTTTCCACCTGCTGCAGCCTTAGTGCCTTAGCGCTGTTCCCAGCAGCACCCCTTCTGTTCTGGGGCAGGGACTGGATGCTAGAGCATTTGGGAGGTTGCTGATGTGTTCCCCCGCTCCCTGACACTCTGCCCCCTGAAATCGGGACGTGCATGCACCCACAGTTCTGGATTTCACACTGGACACGGCCCTCGCAGCGAAGAGGGTTTTCCTCATCGTGTATCCTGATGGCGTTTGATCAGTCATTTGTCAGGATTGGTGTTGGTTGGGCACCAAAACAGCAAACGCCGCTCTGAGTCTGCTCTCTGCATGTTTTCGAAACAAAGCAGCAGGTCTGCCCTGAACCTGTAAACATCAAATAAGCACGAAAGAGAAAAACATGATATCTTGCTTCACTTATCAGAGTGGGTATGGTGGGTTTTTGAAAAATGATGACTTGCAATTATCTTTGTTTTAACCAGAGTTCTAAATGAACTTTTGCGAAGTTCCCTTTTCTTCACTCTTTTTTTTTTTTTAAAAAAACAAAAAACCTTTGTACAAACCTCTCTGGGGATCAGGTGGAGAAGGTAGGATTCTATGATTCTACCTTTCTTCACCCCAGCAGGCACTGCCCCAAGCACAGATAGCTTTCCTCCTTTTTGTTCTCCCTGCTCTCCAGGCAACTTGCACAGGATCTGGAGGGGCAGATTTGGTTCCAGGGAGGGTCTGTGTCTGCTTGTTCCTCCACGTATGTGTCCCACCTAAATGGGAGAATTTTTTTTAAAACTGGAAAGAAGTGGTTCTAGAGCCCCACACAGCATCTTGTCTCAACACATGTAGTGTTAATGCAGAACCACTTACTGGACTGACTAATGCTTTCTCAGGGGCTGCATCACTAGCAGTGGGAAGAACAAGATGTGTTCGGTGTGAGCTGAGGAAACAGGCCCTTTTATAACATACTGGAAATCACAGCAGACCCTTTGGAAACTGTACTCCCCTCACCAGAACTTAGTGGCTCTTCCTTCACACAAAGGCAGCCTCCATTATTCATACCCACCCGGCAGAAAGCCAGGTGAGACTTTTAAAAAGTAGAAGAAAAAAGCAACATCTCTTCAAACATGTTGAGATGTGGGAGCTTATGGTGAAAAAAGGAATAATGATAAAAATTTTTAATAGACGCAGCAATGGTTGGTGATAAGACGTGAAGGCGTTACTTTGGGGCTACACAGAGAAGGGCCCAACTGAGTTGGTTCTCCTGGGAATTCAGAATGACAGAATAAAAGCCCTGGTATTTACCCAGAATAAGGATAATGAAGTTTGCGTCCAAAATAAAAGTCCATGGTAAAAGTCGATCCTAGAGGCCCCAATACAGCTGATGGGCTAGTGTTTGAGGCATCCTAGAAGGGAATGAGATCCAAGCAGATCATGGAAAACTGCATACCCTCCTAGAATGTGTAGGATGCTGAGATCTTGGCTCGTCTTGGTGGTCTGCTAATGAAGAAGAGCATGGGATAGTGCTATCACATGCTAATACAGATTTGTGATTATTTTTTGGATCCAAATTACATTTGGAAAAATTTCCAGCTCTTAAAGTGCCAGACAGCTAAGAATTTAGATGTTAGGAAGTCTGAATCTTGATGGATTTTCTAAGAAACTGATTTAAATTAACAGCATATATGTGAGGGAAGTAATGCTTAAAAAAAAAAAAGTTTTGCTTCATTCTTCACATGGTTATCAAATGAGTATGCTTTTATGTGTTTATTTCAGATCAGGTGGAATGGTTGGCTCAGAATTGGTCCATACCCTTCCATGATGTCCTTGGCACAGATGGCCATACCTTGTGCCCGAGTCAGCCTTCATACATGTAGTTTGTGTAAGTGCTGTCAGGGGCTGGGGGAGAAAGTGTTATTTATTTGGAGATATCCATTCCAGTCTTGGCTCTGTTGTTTGCTTGCAACAGTGTCAGATAAGCCAGTTTACCCCACTGTGCCTTAGTTTCTTATCTCATGGAGGAGAATGTTACCTGCCCCAGGGACTACCTCACGGGCTTTTAGTGAGGACAAATAAGATTAGGAGGACTCAAGAGTCTTTAGTACCAAGGCTCTCAACACTGACTACATGCTAGAATCACTTGTGAAGCCTTTAAAAAATGTTGGTACCCACACTTTCCCCCTCGTGCTAACCAATTAAATCAGTGTTTTGGAATGCCTTGGACCATGGCTTGAGAAGGAAGAACAAACACATTATTACCTTACAAGGATTGGATAAGGTTTATGACTTTTTAAAAAATTCTTTTGGGAAGGACAGGCATTTCTTTAAGGATGGCCAGATGTTGACATATGTATTCATGGTGCAAGCAAGTGTTGTCTAAGCCGGTTCTCTACTGGAAAATGTATTTGCTTTTTATCACAGCATTTGGAAACTCAAACATGCCTTCATTTATTTAAACAGTGTATGAAGCTTAGACAAAAATGTAAACGCATGAATTTATAAATCTGCTGAATATATGTTAAGGTTATTAATTAGTTAATGAGAAAAAAGCCCCCTCCCTCACACTTAACTCCTGTGGTAATTATAAACTCCATTTTACCAAGAACATTTAAGTGCCTAAGTGTCTGTATGAGATATCTGAACAGGTGCTGGCATATTAACCAGCAGATGCGATGTTTCACTAGCTCCTCAGGATGATTATCACATAAATGGAACATCTGGTGATGCTGGAAATGTACTGGAATCAACAGAACCAACAAGTGGCAGTGAAGCTACAAACATGTTTTCCATTAACAGTTGAGGGAATGTCGAGCAAGGGTGGATCCAGACTTGTCATGGGTGTGGGGAGGTCTCCATGTGACAGGACAAGGCTCCAGAATGGGCTGACTCAGCATGTGAGTGCTGCAGAAAAAATTCAGTGAAATACATGTCTCTGATCCTGGGCACAGAATCTGTACATAAGAAGAAATGACTTCTAATATAAGGCAATTCTATGGATGTTTGAAATGGCTGGAGCATTAAAGTAATGGTATTTCAAGTGTTTTTGTCCCCCTTGGTTCTATCTTATTGTGGGTGTTTACTGCCCTAGGATATCACTGTTTATTTAAATCCACAATATTGTTACCAAGCGGTTTGCAAACTTTTTCTGTAAAGGGACAGAAAAGTAAATACTTCAGGCTTTGCAGGCCATATTGGCTTTCTGATGCATATTCTTCTTCTTCTTCTTTTACATTATTAAAAATGTAAAAATCATTTTTAGTTCATAAGCCATAAAAAACAGGATTTGGCCATATTTTGCTGACCTCTGCATGTTACCAAATGCATGAGCCAACAGATTGTCCTTCAAAACTGTGATGAGCTATTCCAGGGAGAAGCATTGAAACAATTTCAGCTATCAAAATCCAGTCCATCACTTCTCACGTGTCTTGTGTGTTGTCTGAATCATGATGCAGATTGTGAGGTGAGATTCTTGGTTGTGAAGGAGAGTTATGTGTGCTTTAAACTTGGCAGGGGAAGGACTTCTGAAATGAGTCACACAGACTACCAAAACTGACTCAAGAATAAATAGAAAATAAAGCTCAAGACCAGATGGCTTTGCTGATTAATTCTACCAAACCTCAAAAAAATAATTAACATCAATTTTTCACTAACTTTTCCACACAATGGAAGCATAGAGAACACTTACCAACTCATTTTGTGAGGCCACTATTATTACTCCTTAGAAACGAGGATGGCAAGACTTCAACTCGCTTACTTTGGACATGTTATCAGGAGGGACAAATCCCTGGAGAAGGACATCGTGCTTGGTAAGGTAGAGGGTCAGCAAAAAAGAGGAAGACCCTCAGTGAGATGGATTTACACAGTGGCTGCAATAATGGACTCAAACATAGCAATGACTGTGAGGACTGCACAGGACCGGGCAGTGTCTTGTTCTGTTATACATGGGGTCACTGTGAGTCAGAATGAACTCAATGGCACCTAACAACAAATTATTACTTAGATTCCAAAATCAGACAAGAAATTACAAGAAAAGAAAACAGACAAACATAAGTTGTCCCTCAGTATCCACAGGGGATTGGTTCCAGGACACCCGGCAGATACCAAAATCTGCAGATGCTCAAGTCCCTTATATAAAATGGCACAGTATTTGCTTATAACCTACGCAATCCTCCCATATACTTAAAATCATCCATAGATTACTTACAATACCTAACACAATGTAAATGTTAAGTAAATAGTTGTAAACTGTTGTGTAAATAGCACTTTACACTCCTTTAGTCTTTGTGGAATTGCTTTGACCACTTAATTGCTTTTTAGGAGCCTTTTTTTCCCACGGAAACAAAGGATGTGCACAACACAAGTAGCGAATGAGATGCAGGCGAACGATGCTCGAACAATGAGTGCTGCAGAGAGACTGAGGATCTGTGAAATGGTGGGAGGCTACAGCAGGGTATGCGTACACATCATTTTGTTCGTGTGGATTCAGCCTAGTGCCCAGCACGTGGCAAATTTAAGTTTTCCTTGGAACTTTTTTAAAAAATATTTTTGATCCACAGTTGAATCCACGGATGCCAACTGTACTAGCAAACCAAATCCAGCAACATATAAAAAAGGATTATACACTGTGACCAATTAGGATTTATTCCAGAAATGCAAGGGTGGTTCAGCATATGAAATCAATCAATGTAATAACACCATATTAATAAAGAACAAAAACCATGATCATCTCAATAGACACAGAAAAAGCATTTGACAAAATACCATTACATTCAACAAACTAGGGATAGACGGGAACTTAACCTGGCAAAGGGCATTGTAATGGATTGAATTATGTCCCCCCAAAAATGTGTGTATCAATTTGACTGGGCCATGATTCCCAGTATTTTATGGTTTTCCTCCATTTTGTGGTTGTACTTTTATGTTAAAGAGGATTAGGGTGAGGTTGCAACACCCTTACTAAGGTCACATCCCTGATCCAATGTAAAGGGAGTTTCCCTGGGGTGTGGCCTGCAACACCTTTTATCTTACAAGAGATGAAAGGAAATGGAAGCAAGCAGAGAATTGGGGACCTCACACCACCAAGCAAGCAGTGCTGGGAGCAGGGTGCATCTTTTGGACCTGAAGTCCCTGTGGGGAGAAGCTCCTAGTCCGGGGGAAGAGTAATGAGAAGGCCGACAGAAAGAAAGCTTTCCCCTAAAGCTGATGCCCTGAGTTTGGACTTCTAGCCTGCTAGACTGTGAGAAAATAAATTTCTCTTTGTTAAAGCCATCCACTTGTGGTACTTCTGTTATAGCAGCACTAGATGACCAAGACAGGCATCAAGAAAAAATCCACAGATAACATATTTAATGGTGAGAGACTGAAAGCTTTCTCCCTAAGATCAGGCACAAGACAGAAATGCCCATTCCTACCACTTCTATTTAAGAATAGGGCAATTAGGCAAAAAAGGAGAAAAGTCATCTAGATTGGAAAGGAAGAGAAAAATGATTTATTTGTTGATGACATGATTTTGTATATAGAAAATCCTAAGGAACTCACACGCACACCCACACACACAAAACTGTTAGAGCTAATAAATGAGTTCAGCAAAATTGCTGGACACAAGACACAAAAACCAGTTGTATTACTATACACAAGCAATGAACGATCAAAAAAGGAAATTAAGAAAATTCTATTTACAATAGCATCACAAAGAATAAAATAGGAATACACTTAACAAAAGTTAAACACTGGAGTTCTGGTCAATATGGTGCCTTACATACACACACCA